AAGGGGTGGGATTCAAATTTTTTAACAACCGGTTCTGTGGGCGTGGCTGTAGGTGGTGGTCATGGCTTGGTGGTCATGTTATTGGCTGGATGTGGCCAACTCAATATCACTCACATCAAGGCACGCATCTCCTTGCCTGGCCTCTCAAGACTGTGGGGATGCTGCAACAGTCGTAAGTGTGAAAAATGGTCATAAGTCACTTTTTTCAGTGCCGTTGCAACTTTGAATGGTCACTCCACACAAGCAAAGTACCAGCAAAGGAGGGGAAAAAAACTCCAGAGATGTTCCTGAGACAGGAAGTCTAGTCCTGCCAAGAATGTAATAAGGGTTAATGGAGAGGCAGTTTCTGTAAGCAACACTAGAATGTTTCTTTCCTGACTTTCTTACAGGATTAGGCCAGTAATTTCTTCTAACAACTGGTTCTCCGAACTGCTTAGAATGTTAACAACCCGTTCTAGTGAATAGGTGCGAACTGGTAGAATCCCACCCCTGGCTACAATGTTGGAGAAATCTACACATACATGCACAATGTGGTCCTGACTGTCTAGAATGCTAGTTCATTCTGTTTGATGCTTATTTTGGTGCACCACAGGGGGAAAACTAGCTTTACACCAATTAATTAGTGACACTTGGGTTGCTGGCTCTTCCAGGCTCTCTCCCCCACCCCAGTTTCACCTTGCTTGTATTGTGATACTTCATGTCCAGCCAAGGTCTAATGCTGGCTTCCGGTCTCCACTCACACAAACGCAGCTAGGTTTTCTCCACTGAAGTGGTATCCATTTTTCTATTCACAATATTGCATGCTTTTTTTCTCCAAAAGTTTTTTATTTTTTAAATTTTATGCATCTTTTCATGTGAGCAACATGTTTCCAGGTTATAACACTTGAACATAGTCATACTTTAATTTCCATTAATCTTATATAATATCAACTCACATCATTGTGTATTTCACTCATCTTTAAATAAATTTGAATTTCATATTTCAAATAATTGATTTAATATCAATATCATTTCATACATACATAAGTTTTCAATCTTTATCCAATATTGCATACTTTTGAACTGCTGGGTGAGTAGGAGCTAGGTATCAAGTGATGGGAGCTCACTCCATCTCACAGAACTGGGCTCGATCTGTCAGAGTACAAACCATTTCTGGCCAGCAGTTCCAGCATCATTAAGCCGCTGCATCATCACGTTACCTCCAGCTTAGGAAAATACAATGATAATTCCTTTACAGGACTTAGTTATTGGAATATTTGAGAGCTGGGGTAAAACCCATCTATTTCAAGTTTCAATAAATGCAATGAAACAGTAAAACGGTGAATTGGTTAAAAACAGTGAAGTGCCTAGCACTTTAAGTACTCAAGAAGAATAGCAATTAAAAGAAGGATTTCTTGGGGTTTTTAAACAGAGGTGATCCTCTGCATTTTGGGTATAGGTTATAATCACTGTATTATAGAAACACTAACATAACAGTATCTGTAGCAGAGTATATGGAGCCAAACCTGTAGAAATGCAAGAAAGGAAAAACAATTATGTACATGAGAATATGTATTTTAATGCTCTAATTTGCCAACTAAAGTTTTTGCAAAGAATATGTATACCCAGCAAAACCACTCAGAGGGAAATGACAGACAATTACTTTCCTTGCTGAAAAAGATTGGAGGGCAGAGCACCAGGGGAAGTGGAGTCCACAGCATTCAGAAGTCCAGACTGAACATCCCAAACTGAAGAAATTTTTCTTAAGGCAGAATTACCATAGGATAAATTGTATATGAGCAAGAACATGGAAGTATGTTTAGGACAGTAAGCGAAGGAAAATAGGACTTTTACTGGTTCTTCTCAGTAAAAGACTCATAGACTGTGAAGTGTGAATTAGGTCACTTCCTTTTAAAAACTGGTCTAAACAATTCTTTTCCAACATTCCTAGCACCATTTCCATTATCAGCAGTGGCATTGCTATTTCTGGATAAATTGCTCGGAATTGGAAGGCTGGCATTTGGAAGCTGTCTTCATATCCACTTTCAGGTAAATCTGTCAAAATGAAGACACTTCTGGCAACAGTTACATGGAGAGGGAAAAGAGAAGGACTGGAGGGGTGATTGGTATATGAGGCTGATGGGGTAAAATTGGTGCTTAACACCCTGGAGGGTGCAATAATCGGCAGAAGTAGTCTATATGAGATGGGTATTAAGCCCCAGAATGCATTGGAAATACTTGCCATTCACACAAAGACACAGAAGTAACAAACAGAAAGCAATCCATTTTCTCATTGAAATGGATGTGATGCTGACCTTTTTAATGGTACAAAAATTAAGATCCTTTTCCAACAAGAATCAGGTATATTTCATATTGGTGTATGTAAACTGCTAGAAAATTAATACCACTTGAGTGGAAAACAAGGATGATCTGGGCTGTTCCAATGCATGAAAAATATAGTTTGAGTGAGCAGGACATGAAAGAAAATAAACTTTTAGCAAATAAAGCTAAAACATATTTTTCTTCCTTTGGATTTACCTACCTTGACAAAATAATTCACAACATTCATTTTCAGAACACTTCATTTGTTCTTAATGATATGTTCTATACTTTTATAAATAATTGTCTCTTCATTGTAGGAATTCTATTCATTATTTTTCTCATAGAATTTTATTTTAAAATGAAGTTTAGAAGACAGGGAACTTTAAAATAGGGTGTAATTGGAAATACAGGAAGATCAGTGTAAAAATGAAGGACCTTGCTGTTTGCAATTCTGAATATATCATAAATCTGCTTGTAGGGTAGCTGTGGTAAATTAATTAGCAGGCAATCCACATATTGACAACTTGATCAACATAGTTTGTGTAACGTTCAGCTTTTCAACTCTGAATTCCAATTTTAGAACAAATGTTGGTGCGTCTTAGTCCCTCTCTCACACATACACACCAACATGCTAGTAAGTAAAGAGTAGAAGAGGTCAGCTTGGCATTAGTTTTTCCTAAGTTTTGCAATAGAAGTTTTTATCTGTCTATTTTGTTGTAGCCTCCTTTCACAAATAATGAAGTGATCCTTTCTAATGTTTGCGACTGCGGGGAGAAATGTCACAATAAGCCTGCACTCTAAAAGCAACGTAGAAGGAAAATGGGACTGAATTCTGTCTCATTTTCCCTTCCTATAGCACTTCAGAGCAAGAGACAGCTGGACTCATTCTTTTTCTACTTATTAACTCTGAATCCTTGCAATAATTAGACAAAGTAAAATGAATATTAACTTATGCTTAACTGCCTTTCCAGCACGTTACTCTGTTTTGACCTTGTGCTGCTGAACCATTTTTTTAAAGTTATGGATTTAAATAATCCTTTGCTGTAAAACACCCTCTACCCCTTCAGCTACTTAACCGCAAGCCTGACTGCCCTAAATCCTTTTCTTATACGTTGTAGCTTTTTACACAAGCCCACTCTTTAAGTAGACATAATCCTTTCTCTGAAGAAAACATGAAAGACCTTGAACAAATCAAGATTTCTCCATGGAGAATTCAGCTAATCCTGTGCTTAGCTCCTAACAAGGAAATCCATCTCTCCACCAAGCAGCCCATTACTAAGGCAAGGGCCTGCCTGGAATAACAAGCAAATTATTGTGCTTTAATTGCGGCATGGCTGTGTCACATGGAAAACTTGAGGCAGGAATGTGACTAGGCCTCCCGAGGAGTGACAGGTCATGCCTTTTCATTACTGTTAAGGTTTTTTTATGATTTAAAAGCAAGCTAAATTAACTATTAATAGGGACTGCAGACATACTTATGATTAGATGACATAGTCAAGCTGTAGCTTTGCTTGGTTAATTGCTAATAGATGAGATTTAATGGCTCTTTCTTCCCCACTTTAACATTGCCTTCTGGAAATGTCTTCAGTTTGGAGAGGGGGCTGCAGATTTTGGGATGAGGAGATGAAACCTCCTTGATTCGTAATCCTAAGGAGAAGAAAGGCGGTGAAATGGGATCTCCAAATGTGAGGTAAAAGGTACCTCCAACATCTCTGAATCTGATTTTCAGTTATCACCAGATTTGCAAAGTACTCATTTTTTCGGCAAGGAAAAAGAAAACCCAGCCTATGTTTTATTCTGAGAATTCATAACAGAAGTCTCGGTGGCATCAATCAATATTAAAAGACCTACCCGTCATCTCCAATGCTACTTCTAAACAGGCAACTTTAGAAAAATAAAATGTCAGGTATTGTTAATCTAGCCATGACATTTAGGCTGTGGAACGTTAGCAATGTGTGTCTGGTATTTTCAGTCAGCATCTTTTCTCTTATTCTGAAGGACAAAGGTGTCACTGTCTTTGTTAGTTTAAGGGGTATAGAAAATCTTTTATGGGTAGTCCTCAACTTACAACGGTTTTCTTAATGACCGTTTGAAGCTACAATGGTACTGAAAAAAAAGTGACATGGCCGTTTTTCACGCTTATGACCATTGCTGCAATCCCCACGGTCATGTGATCAAAATTCAGACACCTGGCAACTGACTCTATAATGGTTGCAGGGTTCCGTGGTCCTGTGAACACCTTTTGTGATCTCCTGACAAGCAAAGTCAACAGGGAAGCCACATTCATTCAACCACTGAATTACCAACATAACAGCTGCAGAGATTGACTTAACAACAGCGGCCAGAAAAAGTTGTAAAATGGGGCAAAAGTCATTTAACTCGCTGTCTCACTTAGCAACAGAAATTCTGGGTTCAATTGTAGTCATAAGCCGAGGACTACCTGTATTTGTATATTTAGATTTGATTGGCGATAAGATTGGCCCCTGCCTTGATAACTCCTCCAAAGGGCCCTGAAGGCATAATCTTGCCAGCAGCTCTAGGGCAGTGGTGGTATGTTACTGGTTCGGCCCAGTTTGAAAAAAAAGCCTCCGACGATCAGCTGAGAGGAGGAAAAACCTGAGAGGATAAACACAAAAGCATGGATTGGCCCTCCCATCTACCCCTGTCCTTTTCTTTATCCTCTCTGCTGATTGGTGCTGCAGGCTTCAGGTGGTGTGTGAAAGCTGTTAGGTGTGGGTGCATGATCACTGAAACAGTGGTGGAACAGGTAGGATCCTGTTAGATCGGTGGATCGGGTCACATAAGAGGCGAGACGTGAAAGTGAACAATCAGCTCTTTATTGCAGCTCTGAACAAAGACAGTTTAAAGTGTGCGAGCCGCTTGGCTTTATACAGCCGGCCGGCGGCTCGGCAGCCAATGGCAGCGCTTTGAATCTCCCGCGATCGGCTCGGCCAATCGCGGTAGATTCTTAGCGCTCCAATCACAGGCGTTCCCTGAACCAATTGGATTGCGGTCTGGGTGGACCAATCAGAATGCGAGTCTTCAAGAATGTTAATACAGAACAGATCCCACTGCTGGCCTGGAGGCCCCAGGGTGACGTGGAGCCCATCAAGTGGTTTGTTTGATTGTTGTCGCAATGGGTGGTAGAGGTTGTGATGAGGTTTTATTTCAGGTTTGTATTGAGGGTTTCACTTCTCTAAGCTGCCTGCAGTCACCATGAGTGTATGGAACAGCCATAACATTTTTCTTTTTTCTTTTTTTTTTCTTTTCCCTGTTCCTGTCTGTACTTGACACAGGCAAATTGTTTCTATTTCTGCCTATCATTTCTTAGAGTCTACAGCACTCTAATGCAAGACAGCTAGAAAGTAATATGTTAAGAGTACTATGTTAATTGGGTTTGTAGGCAAATAGTCTAAATCTGTCAAGTGTCATGCTGCATCTCTGCTATGGATTTCTTTCATCCTATTTCCCTATATAATTTGATTACTGACTTAGCAGGATTGTTTACCTTAATTTTATCATAGTCATATGATAATTGCATGACTAAAAATTATAGACTCAATAAAAATCATTTCACTGCTACGTGCAGGAGGCATTTTGCAAAATATGACATGTTTGGGCTTAGAAATTACAGTACTGCATGAACTCTAGCCCATATCCAATTCTAGTCACAGATACACACACACACACACACACACACACACACACATAAACACCCACCCACACCCACCTGATTTGAGCTTGTTTCCTGTTTACTTCATGAAAAGTCCTTTCAGTCTTTGGGACAACTATATTGCTTTCTTTCTCTCCCAACCTAGCTTACACTTTGGGATACCTTATATAAGGGGTCCCCAATCCCTGGTGCATCAACCGGCACTGGTCCACGGCATGCCAGAAACTGGGCCACTTCTGTAAAACCACGCCCCATCTGGTCTGCAGAGTAACCTTTGTCCACGGAACTGCTCCCTGGTGCCCAAAAGGTTGAGGTTATAGTTTTCCATCCAAATGTTACTCAAGCTTTACCCTGCTTAGCTTCTGGACTTAGGCAAAATTAGAATGATGCCCTAATTCACTGTTCCAGGTTAGAAAACAGCAGGCTGTGAGTTCAAGTCCCGCCCTAGTCATGGAAGCCAGCTGGATGATTTTGTGCCAACCCAGCCCTCCTCACAAGGTTGTTGTGGGGAAAATAGGAGGAGGAAGGTGTGTTGGATATGTTTGCCATTTTGAGTTATTTGTAAAAATAATAAAGGTGAGACAATAAATAAGTCACTCCAAGTTAGCAGTAAATGATAATGCGAAATTGCAATGTGATGCACCAACTGCAAGCATGATGTAAATTGAGCAGAAGTCAATCAATGTGCAAAAGGATATGTGCATCAGCATGAACTTTCCCAGGCTAAAAGGAAAGTAGCCAATCAGCTGCAAATGGCTTTTCTTAAGGCTATTTTTTACATGAAGGCCTGGAGTGACTTTTATACTTGTGATTTGTTCATCTTGAAATTGAAGGGCATTTTACCTTTTGGATTTCCTCGATGGTTAGCAGAGAAGCCGGTTCAGGTGCCCTGATCTTATTTGCATAAAGGAGAATAAATTCTTGGTAAGAAAGTTGTGGCTAGGGGGGGTTGGAATAATGTGGCTTGGCAGCAAAATAAATCAAGCAAAGAATGAGTATAACTACCTAAGACTGAGATGTCTAAACTGCAGCTAAACAATGGCATTACCAAAGTTGCGCTATTTAGAAAGCCACAAAAATAATAATAAATAAAGCCGGGGATGCTGTGTGTGTGTGAGTGTGTGTGTGTGTGAGAGAGAGAGAGAGAGAGAGAAAGAGAGAAAGAGATGAAAAATATGGAAAGTTATCTCTTCCATTGAAAAAGTGCTTATTGTGCAGTATAAAAGGCACTGATTGCATATTTTCTCCTTTGACCTTCTGCTTTGCCTGCCAAGAATTCTTCCAGCATAGGCTGCAAACTTGTTTTCTGCAAGAGGCTTTCCAGTGCTCGGAAAACAACATTAGAATATGGAGTGAGGTTGGAGAGGTGGCATTCAGATCAAGCGCTAGAAATTATCTGTCTTGGGCTAATATATTGTATGCTTTTTCATTCCGCTGTCTGTAGAAATATTTCCCCAAATGTGGCAACCCTCCCCACCTTTCCTTTCATAATCTCTGTGCAAAGAACCTCATCAGCTGTTCTTTCAGGTCTCTGGCGGTGATAAAAAGCACCTTCCAGATGAGAGGATTAATGGGCTGTAGTTTTACAGGAGTTCCACTAGATGATGGTATAAATCTTCATAATGAGCAGGCCAAGATCAGCAGCTTAAACGGGAGTTTGGGAAGACTAGGATTCTACATGGGCATTGTTGACACTCTGAACCACATCCTTCCTACCTTGTTTCATTAAAAGGCTGGAGCGCACAGCTACATCAACCGCAGAGATATATGCAGCACACTTGGAAACATCATAATCTATGACAGGAGAAAGCCATAGAAAATGAACCGCCCAGACAACTTGCTTGATTTAAACATCAAATAAGAATCATGCTTGATTTATTCTGCAAATTAGGCTGGGCCAGCGTCAACTCATTTGTTAAAATTGGCTTGCTAAATAGAGAGTAATTGTATAATTAGCAACAGATTCATTGCAGGATAACACAGCCATTTGCATAACAGTGCAATGGAAATTAGAACAGGGTTGTTAATGTACCTTCTGCTAGCAGGCATGGAGGCAAAAGCCAGGATCCAAGAGGAGGAAAAACAGAGCTCAGTGCAAAATATCCAGGACTTTGCTTGATGCCTGTATTGCAGGTGAGAGAATACCAATGTTTTTAAAGGCTTCTTAAGTTCCCTCAGCGGAGAAGCAGGTTGATCTCTCACTTCTGGAGATGCAGACTGCAACAGTACCACCACCAAATGGGAAAATTTGGTACCCTGATCTTCATTTCCTTTGATGCCTTTAAATTGAACTTTATTTCTACACTACAAATAAGCAGAATGGGATTCTTCTTAAAAACATGCTTCTAAACTATTATGATTACTATGGCCTATGGTCAAATATAAAAAGTTCTGATAAACTCTTGATAAAAGGTAAAGGTTTTCCCTGTCCAGACAAATCTAAATCTAGATGGCAGTGATGATCTCCATTTTTTAGCCAAGGGAACCAACATTGTCTGAAGATATTTCTGTGGTCAAGTGGCCAGCACATCTTTATTTGCCACAGTGCATGGAATGCTGTTACCTTCCCATCAAAGTGGTACCTATTTATCTACTCACATTTGTATGCTTTCAAGCTGCTAAGTGGGCAGGCGCTTGGGTAAGTAATGGGAGCTCACTCTGTCATGCGGCTCTTGGGTCTTAAACCTGGGCTATCCGGTGTCTTTAACAGTTGAGCCATCATGCCACCTTTGAAAGTCTACCTTCCCATAAAAAGAAATAAGCAGAAAATGGCATGGAATATCAAAGTCTAGAAGGGTTGAAGGAAAGTATTCTCAGTAATTTGCCTTCTGGTACTTAGTGATTAATTCTGGCTCCCACAAAGCCATCTTACGAATGACAACATCCCTTCTAGAAGTCATTATGTGAACGTTTACAGTAAGTTCTTTACAAATATTTTCATTTTCTCAGGTTGATGAGCCACAATATGATCTCCGTTCTAATGGGAGAGAGCTCTCTCAATACACATTTGATACATGCTGCAAATAGCACGTCTCCCTGTCCTAAGACTAACCCTCTCATAATGCTAACCTTCCAGCATCTGTTACACCGGGCTCTGCAACAAGATTCTTTCTGCCTGGATGAAAGGCTTGGTAAAGAACACTCTGAAATACTTTAATGAGACCCAGGAGAAATTAATAGTAGTTTATATTTAATTATTTGTTTTTTAAAAAAATCCCATCTCATTTATTTCAAGGGAAATGTTCAATGATAAAGCAAAGATACTGAAATATCTTTAAATAGCTGTAGTGGTTAGAATGCAGCATTGTAGGCTAACTCTGTCTGCCACTGTCAGGAGTGTGATCCTGCCCTACTCAAGGTTGACTCAGCCTTCATTCCTTCTGAGGTCAATAAAATGAGGACCTTGATTGCTGGGGGCAATTTGCTGACTCTGTAAACCATGTGGAAAGGGCCGTAAAAACACTATAAAGCAGTATATGTCTAAGTGCTATTGACAAATAAGGTTGATGATAATCACAGTGATGAACAAAATAAAACAAAGGCCAGATTCTCAATCTACTGAAGCAAAAAAACATTCAAAGGATTTTGAAAACCAATAATGAGAAAGATAAATGAATTCCCCGTGCAGAAGTCTGAGAAATGGAGTGTGTAAACAAAATAACAAAAACCCCAAACCTCTTTTTATTAGTCCTTTAATTGTATTTTAGAAGACACAGTCAAGATCCAAACAAGGTTGGACACTCAATGTTTATTTGTTCTAGATGAAATAGAATGACATGGGAGAAGATGGTACTTTTAGTACCATTATCTGAACTATTTATGGCTTTAACTAGTAAAAGATAGTTCTCAATTGACAACCATTCATTTAGTGATAGTTCAAAGTTACAACACCACTGAAAAAAGTGACATATGATCATTTTTCACACATATGATCCATTGCAGCGTCCCCACAGTCATGTGAGCAAAATTCAGATGCTTGGCAACTGGCATGTATTTATGACAGTTGTAGTGTCTCGAGGTGATTGTGATCATTTTTTTGTCCCTTTCTCACAAGCAAAGTCAATGGGGAAGCCATTTAACTGCAGGAACAGTTGTAAAATGGAGCAAAATTCACTTAACAGCTGTCTTGCTTAGCAACAGAAATTTCAGGCTCAATGGTGATTGTAAGCTGAGGACTACGTGAAGTTTAAATGGTGCCCTCAAACAGCCAGAAGCAATAGAAAAGAAGAAGTGATACGTTACCAAAAATTCACTCTCATCCGGAGTGCATTTTAGATTGGATTGTGTTTCTGCATGGTCTTCTAGAACAGCCTGATATAAAAGCTCATTCCACTAATTAACTGCCCCTCCTCCCTCAAAGGCCCATTATGTGACTGAGGACGTATCTGCCATACACCTTTAACTGCTCCTATCCCTTGCTTGGGTAGGTTTGACTCTAAATTGGATTATGAAAATCCGGCTTAGGTTGAGATGCTTTGGCATCAGCTTGCCAGGTCTAGACTTCAGGTTGCTGTGTCCTCCCCTTGCACAATTCTTTCACTAATGTTCTCTCCCAGTATTCTGTTCTGGAAGGCTGATTGCTAATCACATTTCTTTCTGTGACAGGAATCTGACATATATTTATATTTATATCTACAGCTACAGCTACATCTAATCTATATACGTATATCTTCTTATACTGTGGATATATACTTTTACAGGTTTGTGTGAGTTCCCAATTCAGTTACTTTCCTTTTCAGATTTTTTTTAAAAACCCACCACTGAGCCCGAGGGAGTGGAAAAATGATGAAACAATGCACTGGTGAACTTATTAAAAAAAAAAAAGCAAACCAGCAGAAAAGTAGGTAATTCAGAGGAAAAAATATCCTGTTGGGTTTTGAACTAAGGACATTCCTCATGTAAGGGAAGTATTATAACCATTATGCTAGCAAAGAAGACTTGTTATCGCAGACTTTTCAGCAATTGTTTATTTATTCATCACGTTTCTATACTGCTGATCTCACCGAAGTGACTCTGGGCGGCTTACAATAAGTTATTCAAGAAAAACAGGGAAAATGCAGCAAAGGGGTGTTTCTGCCTCTGTGAAGGCACACCAATTAAATGTGGAGCAGACCAGGAGAAAAGTAAAACACAACAGGCAAGGGCTGAGCTGACAGAAGCAAGAAAGCAGTGGTAGGAAACTGGAGCAGAAAAAGATGTCCAGAGATCGCAAGAATGAATGCATGGCAACATCATCTGTTCCTGTCCTCGAAAAATGGTTGCACACCTATACTGACAACAGCACAACCTAGCAGTGAAGATAAGTCCTGGATAAGCAGAATAAATCTAGGTTCTGTGTTGGCCGCATTGGGGAAGAAGGAATTTTATTTAATTTGTTTCACAAGCCTGAGTCCTTATGATGTTTATAAATGCGATGATTTGTCCTAAGTGATCTTAGTATTATTTTAGTAGCTAAGCCTGACCCATTGCCCATAACTATGGTTAGTGCTTGACTATCTAGATATGCGATTGAGGCAGGACATAAAGAAGAAATGTATTACTTTTAGAGAGATATTAACATGATTCTTCTAGATAGTAAAATGTATGTATTAAGAAAATGGAAAATGTCAGATCACAGGTTCATCTGTTGGTCACTCATATTAGCAGGAAGCTTTGTTACAGAAAACCACATATCTTGCTTGCAACAAAACCACGAACGTACTGCTGGAAACTAGATGCCATGGCAAGACACCTTTGACATAGATTAAGTGAGAGGGGAAGGTATTTCATTACTTTAGCCTAGCAACAGGGGGGCTGGAATTCAAAGTAACCAATGAATGATTGACAAGTTATATTTTTGTGGTTTACTGCTTCTGAAATGTATATATGTGAATGTTGATCTATAGGAAGTGGCTCAGATGTTGCTTTGGCTATATTGCTCTGAACTTTTGCGCAAACAAAAGGAACTTATTTTTGATTCCAAGGTCTGAGTCTTGTCATTTCCTGCAACATTTATGGCGACCGCAGCAGGACTTGGAGCGATATTTCGCTGAGGCTGGCATGGACCAACCAGTGTCCAGCCAGGGCCGTCTCACTGAATCTTCATCTGGCATAGATTATTTCTCCAGAAGGAGGTGGACGGCACTGTAAGGTGGACAGCCGACTGATCCAAGAACCTGAATGGAATCAAAAATAAGTCATGAAATAATGCCAGCTGGAAGAAGATGCCTGCAGGCAAGTATTGAGGAATTGTAGATCCACTCGTTTTGAGAGTGGAAGAGGGAGTTGTGTGGATGGTTAAGCCATTGCACTTCCTGTTGGTGACCATTGGAATGTCCAGCATCGCAGGTCAGTGGCAGTGTCTTAGAAATGGGTGGTGGAGGAAGTGTCCCCCGGACACCTCTTCAGTGTATGCTGAGGAATTTTAAGAAGGGCTTTAGTGGAGATTATGGAGACCCCAAGGCCAATCCAGATGATGAAAAAATTCTGTGAAAATGGTGACCCAGGAGGTTCGAGTCATCGATAAAATGGGGGGCAAATTTGTCATTTGAGGAAGACACTATGGCACTAGTTATAAGGCACTCTCTGGATGAGATGTGGCAAGTAATGGTGGCCCAAGAGGTTTAAGTCCTCGATACTTGGCAGGAGTTTGATGTGCACCGATTGTGGGCAGAAGATAATCCACCAGGATATGCAGTTCACCATGCACCGCTAGTCATTCAAGTGAAGCCTCTGGCAGTGCCTGTCTGTCTCCAGCAGAGAAATTATCCTTGCCCCATTGCACAAGCAATTCAAGATCAAATTACCAAATTCTTAAAGGCAGGCATTTTAACAACTATTCACTCCAATATGTTGATGATGTGTTAATAACTAGACAAACAAAGAAAACTTGTTGGGACAACACCAACCAACTACTTTATCTGTTGATGGACAAAGGATACCATACCTCAAGGAAGAAAGGCCAATTAGTGAAACCCCAAGTTAAATACTTAGGTTATACTATAAGTCGGGGCCAGAGAGCTATAGAACATGAGAGAAAGGAAGCTGTGTGCCGAATTGCAGAACCAACTGACAGGAGAGAGTTACTTTTTTTTTTAGGAGCAGCAGGATATTGTAGAAATTTTGCCCTGCTAGCCAAACCACTCTATGAGTCCACAAAGAGGGGAGAAAGGGAACCCTTTGTTTGGACATATGAATTTTTGGACATATAAATATTTGGATGTGTGAATGTTTGGATGTGTGAACAAAAACAGGCTTTTGAGACTTTAAAATTGGCATTATCTCGAACTCCTGTTATGGGACTTCCCAACCTTGAGAAACCTTTCAATTTGTATGTGGACTCAAAGAATAATATGGCTCTTGGAGTCGTGACTCAAGAAAAGGGAAGTTGGCAACAACCCATAGCTTATTTGTCAAAACAACTTGGTGGAGTACTATAAAGGAAAAGGTGACAAAGGTGTGCCTTGAAACATACCTTAAGTGGGTGGATGCATTGCCACTAGCACTCTGGTCTGTACGGTGTATCCCCCGAAAGGGAATTTGGTTATCTCCTTTTGAAATGATGTTTGGAAGACCCCCTGTCATAAGTACTAGTTTGAAAAATCAATTAAGTCAATTAGGGAATTTATGGGTGAGTCTAATGGTGGGAGAATTAAATAAGCAAATATAAGAAATCCAACAATATTATGTGTCCCTCAGCTCACCATTTTTGAGTACCCCCCAGTCATAATATTCAAGTGGGAGACAAAGTATGGATAAAACACTGGAAAGGGGAAAACTTGAAGCCTAGATGGAATGGCCCATATACTGTGGTCATGTGTGCTCCACTTGCAATAAAGGAGTTGGAAATCAAGTCTTAAATTCACTGGACTTGAGTTAAGCCCAGCTGATGAATATTGAGAGGCAGAGCAGGACAAGGCCGGTCCTTTAGTGGTACGCTTGAAGAAACACCCCCTATAGCTGCCCTACCAGCAACAGGCAGGCAACATATGGGGTAGAAGAGGCCTTACTGGTGTCACTCCAGAAGCTGACCCTCTACGTATGGCTGAAAATAAGAACAACAAACAGATATTAATATGTTAGGGATAGAGTATGTGGTGGAGGTTGGACCTGTTTCAAGGAATGGTAGTCCGACAAATCATAGCCATAAGTATAGTGGGTCTGGCCTTAGTGATTCTGATCACCTTAGTTGTGACTTGCTGTATTGGACACCTGTTCTTTTGGAAGCACCCCAACCCCAAGGAGACAGGTGTTGCGTCTGAAAGCACTGAGTGTGACCAAAGACAGTGTGCATCTCCTGGGGACACTTATGTTTGAAGAACCCTGGGAGTGGGTCCTCTGTAGTATACTAAGGGGCTTGGGAGTGTGGGCATTATATCTAGCAAATAAAGCTTGACTTTGTGGCTCACCCCAGATTGACACCTTCCCAAATCACACTTAATCCCATCCATCTTCCTGATGTGGTAATTTCATAATTGCAATTATTCCTCTTGTTGTGACTGTGAGTGTGAAGCTGAGTGAGACATTGAAATTATAAGATAGAGAAGGACAGGAAGTTGACATTGACTCATTTAAATTGTCAAATATGAGTCTTCTATGGCTTTGGTTACTAATTGCAAATGTTCTGTTGAGTGATAAGACCCTGAACGGAAGCCCCAAATGTTGTGAGAATGGCCAGTTAACTTCTCTCACACTGGGAGGAGGCTCTGGGGACATTGAGGATCTTAAAGAGTGAGGCAGGAATGGGACCGAGGGTTTGGGGTCCTTGGAGACACTAGATGAAGAAGAACTGGAGCAAGTCCCTGCCCACCATTGCCATCTCATTTCCCAGTGGGGACGCCACCCTGAGCCAACCTTAGGGCCTGAGCCTGAGCGTGCTACCATTAAGTTAAAACATTGGTTGGGTCAAAGACAGGACATCATTAAGACCAATGGAGGGCCTCTGCGACAATTGAGAAAAGGAAGCTATCTACTGAGAATGCTGGAGCTAGGTCAGGCTTTGGTTAACCAAAATGACCCTACTTTAGGCCAAATATGTTGGCTGTGTTTGTCTGCATCCCCAATGGCCTATCATGCAGTCCCAGTTTCACCAGACCTTTGGGCAAAGACTAATGCCTCCCTAGCTGTTGACAGATGTGGCAGGTGGGGAATTATCACAGCAGAAGCAAAATTACTGATGATCTCTATAGTACATTAGAAGAGTTGGGAGTTAGCCATCTTCCCATCGTTGGCCCAGTGGCTGTTGGTGTGGGCCTACTAGGGCTGCCCTCTTTATGTGTTAAAAGGAGTCAGAAACCCTGAGAGGGCACTCTGGTGGGATCAGAGACAGAAAAGTACTGGCAAAAATGTCAATTAGAATTAGTCATAAGCCTTCGAAGTAGACTTATGGATGTAAAATTAACTTCCAGCATTTCTCCTTCTACACACTGCCTCTTCCAAAAGAAGGTCACCTTCTTGATTCCGCCACAACTGAAGTTTACAAAATGGGAAAGAAATATTACCATGATAAGGTGCCCAAGTAAATTTGAACTACCCCGATTCCCACTTTGGCTCTATAGTAAGTCCACACAGGGATTCTGTATTCCATTTCCCCTTGGAAATGAAAGCTCCTGTTACATTCTTGAAGCTTCCTATATCAGGGATGAACAAAGAAACCCTTGTCAAAAAACTCCACTACACCCGTTAACTGGTATGTTTATGGCAGGAATCTTAGGGGGTTGGAGTAATGAGAATGGCCATCGATTTCATGCTTTCTCCTTGAACATGGCAGTATCCTTAGAAGAGAATGGGGTCTTTTTCTTGTGTGGGGAAAAGGCATATTTATGTTTACCAACCAACTGGACTGGAACTTGTACTCTAGTACACCTCATCCCAAAGATGGGTGTTGTTGATGGGGAACAAGCCCTCCCTGTTCCTCTAGTAGGACATATACAGAAAAGAGTTCTGACTGGACTTCCGGTTTGAGCTTCTTCAGCGACAGACTGAAACCTTGTCTCTGTGAGGCTTCGATCTGTGCGCGCTGCTGGAGCGCCCTGAGCAGGCTGGTTTCGGGGCTAAGCTACCCCGTAGAGGTGGTGAAGAGGGGGGAGACTGCCAGCAAGGTTGAGGAGAGCCGCATCTCTCCTCCCCAGCTGGCCATTACTCCCTTTCCCAAAGGCGGTTGCAGCGGTGGTCAGAAATAGCCACCACAAAGAAGAACTCAACCGGAAAAGAATGTGCAGGAGGAAGATAAGAAGAGAAAGTTTTGGTTGACCGGGTCAAACAGCAAAAGCAACAAATAAGGTACCCTGGAACTGAAACTGTTAAAAACCAATAACATTGTTCCCTAAGAAGATTTTTAAGCTGCGAAGGAGAGAGAAAAGGGAAAAGGTTTGGTTTTCTCCTTTTCCTATACTGACAGCCAAGAGACTTAAGCAAGAAATTGGAAAAAAAATCCACTTTGGCATCAATAGGCATTTAATGCTGAAAATAAAAAGTCAAAGGGATAATAAAGATTTCTGAATAATTAAAAGCTTTTGAAAACAGGAAATGAGAGAAAAAGAATAAAAGGGTAGGATCTGAAAGGGAGGAGACTGCCTGGAATTAAAAAAGAACGTACAGCAAAATCTCAACAAGACTTCCAAAAGATACATTCTAACTGAAATATCGCAACAAAAACCCCAGGAAGAGAAAGTCGAAAAAGAAATAAGAAGATATGACTCGGGACTATCTGGATTACTTGATGATTTCTGGATTCTTCGTTATTGTTTTGAATGACTAAAATCAATCGGGTGGTTGTTTAAAACTTTTAAAAATGGCTCCACTTTTAGAAGAACTGAAAATGGAACTTAAAAAGTACAAAGAAGATGCACAAGAAGGGAGAGGTTCTTTTGGCTTCCTATTTCAGTTTTTAGAAATGGAGATTTGGAATTATGAGAAACAACAAGAAATGCCTGCAGAACAAGAAGATTGCGACAAAGAAGAAGCCATCTTTAATGAACAAGTAATCTTAGATGGGGGAAAAAAAGGAAAGGGGAAAAAGAGAATGGAAAGTTTAAGATTGGGAAAAACAACTCCAAAAAAAAAAAAATAGAGTGAAAAATAAGTATAAAATCAGAAAGCAACAGAAGAGGGAAATGCAGAAGGGAGAATTAGAACTAGAGAGACAAGGGGGTAAAAAGGGGAGGGAGAAGATGAGAGGGAAGAAAGAAGGGAAAAGAAGTTATAAAGGACAGAAGCAAAATATAGAGAAACAGGGCCTATTTAGAGATAATGGGTGAAAACTTAATGGAAAAAGGGATTCTGCAAAGGTACATAAGATAGTATGGTTATATTAGAAGCAGAAATAATTTTAGAAAATATGAAACAATGTATGATTAAAATGTCTGATAAAATAGCTATTGTAATTCAGTGGAATGCTTGTCAATAAGTAAATGTAACAAAAGGTATATTTAAGGATTTATAAAACATATGTGAAGAGAAATAAGGGAAAAATTAATTATGGAGGTTATGTGTTTTTAAGGAAGTATGATATTTAATTGAAAAGAAGTGTTAAAGATGTTAAGATTTTAATGATTATTAATGATAGAACTGAACTAGAATGGAATGAGAGTTTAATTTACAATCTTTTTTTTTTTTTAAAAAAAGAATATAGTGTGTATTATAAGAATGTACCAAGCAGAATTCTATTGGAAGTTATGTATTATGTATTATATTGAAGGTCATAAACTTAAGGTATATATTGAAGTTTAAATAAGAGTTGAATCGATGTAATTAAAAGATATAAAGGTGTCATAGTCCAATTAGTAACTACAGGAGAAAATTTGTTTAATGAGAAAAGATAATATGAAATTGAAACAGAACAGACAAAAGTATAAATATCATGATTTGAACTGAGATGAGATAACCAAAATAAAATTGAGAAAATTAAAAGAGGGGAAAAACTATATAGAAAATGTAAAATAGTATAAGATATGGAATAGAATACAAAAAGGAGCATGAAATTGAGTTTTGTGCCTGCATAAAGAAATTCAACCCGGGACCATGCTATTTTCAAAAAAGATGTTTTACTTGTATTTTGTGTGTGAAAACGCAAATAAAACTTTATTTAAAAAAAAGAAAAGAAAAAAGTTCCCATAGTAATACCATTATCAGCCATCCTAGGGATAGATACTGCAGTTGGTACAGGTGTAGGTGGCTTAACCCATTCTGTAATACAGTTTAAGCAACTGTCTGAAGAATTTCAACAAAGCCTAAGCCAGATTGCTGGGACCTTGGTAGAAGTCCAAGATCAAATAGCCTCTTTGACAGCAGTAGTCTTACAAAACCGGCGTGCTCTAGACCTCTTGACAGCCGAGAAAGGAGGTATGTATCTATTCTTAGGAGAAGATTGTTGCTTTTACATAATAAATCAGGCGTAGTCAGAGAAGTGGCAA